CGCAAATTAGGCACATCCGTCGATCACCTTGACGGTGCAAATGGAAACGGCAGGTTAAGGCCCTTTCCTAGATGTCCTTCTAAGCAGAAGGGCTGACAGCAGCGTTCGAAGGAGCGTCTACCGGAATAAAACTTGGTCTGGACGATATATGAACTTTTGCAGTTTGCACCCCTTCAACAAAAACGCAATATAGTTAGTTGTTTGGGACAAGGGGCTAGAAAGATCTGCTCGGCAAACAGTACCGACGAGAAACCTGGAAAGGTTCAAAACCTGCTTCGCAAGAACGGGTATCTTGGCATATATATTACTAAGAATATTACAGAGATGCACGCAAAACCCATCGTACTAGCAGTTGAAAAGAAACCCCTGTCCCTCAAAATCCATTGTCTTGGGGATATGACGAGTGAACACTTGGAAGTCGCCTTGACCAGGCTGCTCCGCGAACATTCCCAGCGGCATGACTTCGGGCATTTTTCTCGAACAACTCTGTTTTACACGGAGAAGGTAAGATTAGGCTGCCAGCTCAGACCAACCCCATACGCATCCACTCCTTTACCTGCTTTTGCGGAGGCAGGTCGCAGGAGTGGCTGCTTATCCAAAAGAATACGGGAACACCTCCCGGTATGATTGAGAAAGGGCGGAGTCAAAAGCATTAACAGTGCTCTTCACGCACTCATTGTTGATTTCAGGCATCGTGGGGACCCCAAGGCAGCTTTCCGTGTTATTTCCAAGGTTCCATCGAACTATCCTAAGCCATCAGATCAGTGTCAGCTAGCAATAACTGCCGTCAGGTTACGGAAGCCAGTCTCGTGTGCACAGAAGTACCTTGTACAAGCTCCACATCTACCGTGGCCAAAGGTCTATTAACCGAATGCCCCCCCGCGCCCTAACTCTCAGTGCCTTCTAACGCTTATTCCCACTTGTCTCTCACTACTTGCGTGAAAAAACGAACTGTAATCGATTTCTCTTGTCTCTCATATGGTTTAACGTACCCCATTCCCCTATAAGTATACTGCCACGATGAGGATTTATCGAAAGCACATGTATACTCGCCGAATATTCTTCTCAAAAACTGCTTTTCAAAAGCCTTAATCACAGAGATTGAATCACAACCAAGCCACAAGGAAAGACAGTTTTTGACTTACCACGCTTGTCCTGCTTTGCTGAAAGCGAAAAAAGCTGCATCCGATACAGATATTTAGTGTGTGAAGGTTAGTGAGCGTATGGACATGAGGAAACGAGATCACGTAGTCAATCCTGCCGCAGTATTCACCGCCGAAAGCCACAGTATGATTAACTACGGAGATTAGTCACAACAGAAGCAGTCGCTGCTACTGCAACCGACACTGCAGTTAATGCCCCACAGGCCTCGAAATTAGTGTGAATATGTGAGTATAGCGGGTAAATTGATCGGGAATTCAGAGGACTCAGAGGGTGCATTGACGGTGAAGGGGAGAGAAGATGCTGGCATCAGTAACTCCGTTCTCGCATCTGTGTTGCAAGGTCCTTCGACAGCACTCAATGAGGTGGTATCATAGACTAACAGCCGCAGTAGTAGCAGTAGCAGCAACAACACAAGCGACGGCAACAATTATGGGCGTCGTCTTTGCCGCCGTGGCGCCAGCGGCTTGAGGATTTCACGCCAATACGCAGAAGGCAATAGATTCTGACGTAAACAGGTGTGCGCACACAGCTCCCCATGGATGCACGTTTAATTTGCTCTCTCAAGGTCACAGCACTCACTGCTCAGCCATCTGGGCGCGTTTACGCGCAGTCGCACATGGAGTCACTTTTCGCTGTCTCTGCTATCTTCTGTCTCAATAGGCATTCCTTAGCGTGAAGATGTTAGTGAGAAAGTACACAGCAGGACGGATGCAGACGCCAAGGGAAAGTACGTGGATGAAAACTGTCGTCGTGAAGGGGAATGCCCTCGAAGCCCAGCCTACGCCTGTTGGGCTACCTCGTACTCGATGACAACGCTGAAAACACGCTGGAGCTAGAATAACCGTGGTGTTTGTCGCTGAACAGCCCAAAAGTTGTGCATATGAATCGCGTTGTTCTACTGTTGCTTGTTAAGGTCCCGAAACAGTTCCTGGGGTAGGCAACGTTGCTGAGTCAAACCTAAACGTGGTTAGAATATTTTTTTGGCAGCACAGTCTTCTTGGCGGCACACAGTTGGAGAGGCCTGAGAGAGAGGCAGGGAGTGCAATCGGCGCAATGAAAGTCAGCGCTGCTCCTGCAGCGCAGCGGTGATCCCCTTCGAGCTAAAAGCAGAAATTATCGGAAGTTCTGCTGGCGGAAATTGATACTAGCCGAACAATCCTAATCGGAGCGCTTGAAGAGAAGCAATGCGACACACTCAACCGTTTAAGTTCTCGTGAGAATAAAACAGACACAGCCAGTTCCCTGGAAATACTACATCATATGCTAGCACACAAGGAGAAGAAAACACAAGCCGTAAGTAAACACTCAGGAGGATACTGTAGTGTTTCAGAAAGGGGGGGAATTTTTAGGCGAGAGCCTCACAGGATCATAAACCATTGTGACGGCGAAGCAAACTGCCTGCGAAGGTGGAAGAGTACCGAACCCAAAGACGATCGCGAATAAAGCAAAAGTCCGACAAAGAGGGCGCGGTCTGCCATCGATCTTGCGACTATGTTCCCTGTCACCCATGCAAGTAACCTTGCCGTGGAGCACAAGGTGGATAGCGTCGGCAACGACGGTTGAACTATCATGTCCCCAGTGTCAGCGTATACTAAAGATCGGGCACCGCTGTGTCCACGACAAAAACAGGAACACGTTATCGAAACTTACACTCTCACTGGGGGATACCAAGGCCTCTCCTCATCGGGCACAAAAGGGAGTTGTTTCTTTATTGCAGATAAAAGATGGCTTCCCTATTAATCCACCGCACCTTTTTCCGTTTTTTCCATGGAGGCACCTATTCCCGTGTTTCGACTCTAACCCTGAGTCTATCACTGACTCTCACAGTCCCCACCCTGACCCAAACACTAATCCTAACCTTCCTAGCACCGACCCTGACGTTAACCCTAGTCCAAATCCTTCCTAGAATCTGGTGCATGCCGACCTGTAATGCGGGGGCCCATATTCCAATGCCAAGCCCCGGACTTCTTATGTGTTTTTCCTTAGAAAAACAGAACTAACTGGCAAGGTTAGGTCCTGCAGCCCCACCTGAGTAATACCACATGGCGAATACGTTGAATTTACAAATATCACGCATTTTCATCTTCCTTACCATTTTAATCCAGCGAATGACTGTGCCATGGAGGAGGGGTGCTTATACGTCAGCCTTGGTTACTTCGGGTATCAGTTCATATGCACTTCGCAGGGCGTGCATCGAGCCCTGTTTACGCCTTTTTAATATCTCAGTCCAGCAAGAGGCTAAGTAGACTTGCTAATTGGATTGTTCGGACGGTGTGGAACTCCGTCACTTCCTCTACAGTGGCTATGCACTGCAGATTACCACGCGGTCCTCTCCGTGGCCTTCCAGTCTTGATTGCGCCCTCCTTATCCTCTTAATCCAGCGAGTAGCTGTGCCGGGGGGAGGGGGGGGGTGTGCACACGCCACTTTCATTCACTTCCTTGCGTTCCCTTTCTTTTCCCAAACCAGCAAGTAGCTAAGTTAGGTGTTAACTAATATTCTTTTAGTAAGCCAGCCATACGGTATCAATCACGTGGGACTGCAGAATCAAACCCCGCCAATTAATTTGGAGCCCAGGAAAATGTGCATACAACGCAAGCGCCCCTCGAGCTTTTGCATCATGTTGGGAAGGTCGGAGTCTCTGAGTACGTAATCATTTATAGCGTATCCGAAAGTAACGCAAGCGTTTAACTGACATCCTACAGCTGTCATCGGCGCAGGGGCTCAGCCCATCACTTTTCGTGAAGTCTTTCCAGGAATATATTAGCTTTCGGGCGACTTTACGCTTGCCTTACAGAAGTAGGCAACTTTCATGCACACTTTTTAGGGTAATAATTTATTAATTCATAGTATTTTGGCAGATTTTAAATAATTCATATTGACCCAACTGTGAAAAACTCGGCACATCGGTGGGATTCGAACCCACGCAGTAGGGGGTAGGCTTTAGTACAGCCAACGCTCTAACCACTTGAGTTACGAGGCCCCGCCGGACGACGACTAAAATGCGATTAAACTCGCGTCGTCCGGCCGGGCCTCGTAGCCCAAGTGGTTAGAGCAATAACTGTACTAAAGCCTTCCCCTTACTGCGTGGGTTCGAATCACACCGAGGCGCCGAGTTTTTCACAGTTGGGCCAATATGAATTTATTAATTCTAAAAAAGAACCGCTTGACGTAGATTTCCCAAAACAGAAAAATTTTACGATTATGTAAACCTCCCTCCCCCCAAGTTCAAACGTTCACCTTTCTTCTGTAGTCGTGATGAGTCCCATTTGTGATTCGAATAAATCGGCATACGGTCGCAGCCACTGGCGTTTGCAAGTACGGCCGGCTAGGAGGGTAAGGGGCATTTTCTAAGGCACCATTCCTGCTTGAGCGCGAGTATTCTAACCTGTAGTTTCAATAAAATTAGGGCAAGGGTATGGTTTGTAACGGGGGGTTACTTACTCCAGGGAGCATTTGTGCTAAAGGAAAATAACTGGCGTTAGTTATTTTCGTACGTGCCAGAGAAAGGAATAAAAAGACCGCGCGGTGGCTGCTGCGTTAGGGTAGTCAAGTTGCGTTAAGGCAGTCATTGGAGTAAAAAAGGCGACAATGCAGTACTTTCTCGGCAGTGCCCTCAAAGGGGCATTACATTTATTTCTTACTACCATTAAATGGAGAAACTAGTGTCACCTCATAATTGGTGACATTGTGGAGGATCAAAATGTCTGATACCATAAAGTTTTTTGATGTCCAGCTCTTTTTCTCAATACAAATGCTCCCTGGAGTAAGTAACCCCGGGCATAAACCATACCCTTGTCAAAATTAGGAAGTCGAGCTTGTACATACCAACGAGAGTATGGCGGACATTTTGATACTGAGCATGTCACTATCAACTCCTACTCTAGTAAACTCAGTCAAATCCAACAGTTCAATCAGCAGGTTGCTTCGGTGTCCTGACAGCTTCCAGATTAGGTGAGCTCTCTAATGGCAATCACTGTGAAGAGTTTACTGAATGGAGTCACAGCTTTCGCGTATTATTAAAGGGGGAAATTAGTGTCACCTCATAATTGGTGACATTGTGCCTCAGCCACTGTCTGAGCCCGTCAGTTTACTGGAGCGGGGAATGGGGAACGATAGGATAGAAGCGCATTCAAAAGCCGACATTCTGGTGTGACCGAAATGTCTTGGGATTCTGCTTCAAAATCACTAACATTGCAACCATACTTGGAGCTTTATTTTCGAATCGAAACCGCATTTCAGAATTTTCGGTCAATATTTCACGAGGTAGCACATCTACTGTATTTTACCAACCAAACTAATGCTTTTATGGCAGCTTTTTTCCTGTCTTTCAGTCTGCCATTTTCCTTAGCGGTGGTTTTACGATATGCAGCTTGGACTAAACTTTTATCAAAACGACCAAAAATCTAAAAATTAAAGCATCAGATGTAGGCGTGATTACGCAAGCTCCTTCATGGAGTGGTAGGAACCAAGTTGTTTTGACTTGCATAGATATCGCACAGTTGTTTTCACTGGAATTCATCTCAAAGTCCAAAGGAGCTGTCAAGACCACATTTAATGAGTCAGGCTGAGTACCGAGAAATTTCTACACATTCGCTTGTTATCTGATATGGCGACAGCCTTCCGACTATCCTGTTTTGGTTGTTTGCTTGAGAAATTTCTGCATGACTTTCAGACCAAACATTCACGGAGTTTCTGCATATACTGTCAAATGTTCCACCCAATAAACCACCTGCAATTACTTGAAATTATGATTCACTGAGACAAGTTTTTAATTATTACTTGCCATTTATCATTTCTGAAAGTCAGTTAGACCACTTTTGTCATGGCAAATTGTAATTATATTTTGTTTAGAAGGAAGTTCAATTAAAAACCCTGCCGCGATCGCAGACGAGACACCCCCTAGGAATAAACACACAAAAGGACTACAGTAACAGCTGCTTCCGAAAAACCTTTAAAAGTTATTTGTCCTAACTTCAACCACAAATCTGCATCTCGGTGGTCAAGCCCAAAAGGCAGTCGAACATACTACATTAATTCTGCAGTTATCACCCCAATATTTCTGAACGACCATTATTTTTTAACAATTTATGCGCATAACTTTCGCGCCTCCGGTCTGAGTCAGCAGCAAAGGTCCGATTAGACGAAAATATTTTGTGCAAAGATTTTACAGGCCAGAGCTGCCAACTAAACCACTCTGCTGACTTTATGTCACTGACCAAGTTTCACAGCGCGTGTGAAAGTCCGCTTCACCCGCCCATCCTTCTGTCAGCAATGCTGCTGCTGTTGCTGCTGTTGCTGCTGCTGCTGCTGCTGCTGCTGCTGCTGCTGCTGCTGCTGCTGCTGCTGCTGCTGCTGCTGCTGCTGCTGCTGCTGCTGCTGCTGCTGTACTTGACCACTCCAACTTACCCAATACTGTACTTCTGCGACAGGGCAGCGGTGAGGGCTTTTGAAGACCACAGTCAGTGTCTGTACTTTAGGAACGCCAAGGAAAGCCACCAATTCTTGTAGCCATGTGTGCAAAAGGCGCCCACTGACCCCGCCACCAGTTAAAGTGCCGTCGGCGTCAAGTTCTATCGTGCTGCCAAATCCCAACGTCGCACACGAGAGAAGTCCACCGTAAGAATACAAATCTGTGGGCAGAGGTCAGAGCTGTAAACAGTTCAAGTTGGTGAAAGGCGAGGGCAGGACAGGGTGCGAGGGGGATGCAAGGGGGGCGACGGCGTAAGTTCACACATCACCATCTTAGTATGAGTATACAGGGAGCAACTAAAGACGCTCATCTCCCTTTGTATATCGAAGGGCCGCGCGGAGAGAGAGGGCGAAACAGATAGAGAGAGGGAGGGAGAGGGAGAGAGGGCGTAGAGAGCCCGTGGAACTCGAAAGTCTGCGAGGCATGTCGGCGACAACGAGTATGGACTAGCTCTCTTCAATAGTTAATAACCCTAGGTCTTGGATGCTGCAGTCACCTGTGCTACAGATAACCTCTCCTCCCTTTACATCGTGGCTCAGACACTTTGCTGGAGGCCACTCGTGCGTAAAAAACGTCTCCCCAGGGGGAAAGTAGGGGTCAGGATTTGGGGGGGCGGGGGGAGGTAAGACCGCGTTTGGAGACGGGCCGGGAGGACATGGAGGGAGAGAGGGGAGTGCGAGGACAGAGCCTGATGTTCAGGTGGGGATGGGGAGCAGAAAAGTCGACAAAACATATTCTTCACTTTTTTCTACTCAGCGTGCTTGGGTCCTGCATTAACTGGCTAGGTGCGGAACCCATTTCGGAATTGTGACTAGGTTGCAGCACTTGTAGCATGCGATGTTACCAAGCTAGAACATTTTAACGATGAAAGAGTTAGTCTGCGCCACGCTTGCAAAACAGAGTTCAACTCAAGTTGACTATCATAACAGGAGATTTGTTTATGCTGGACTAAAAATTCTGGAGAGAAAGGGAAAGACAACTTGGCGCAGTAATAGTAGCTGGAAAGGTTCAGCTCAAATTTGTATTTAAAATACGTCACATAGCCGTTTCCAGATTAGGAATACTCCTTTTTCGTTTTCTTTCTGACGTGAGTTGCTGAACACTCGGAAGTCTCTCCACCCGCGTTCTGGGGATGCGTTCAATGAAAATTGTTAACGTAATATTGACTTGTTAATTTCTCGCCAAACCCTAGAATCTTCTGGTGGAGGCTGACGCTGGCACAGAAAGCCGTACGTAGTAGTGTTCATACAAATGTCCACCACTATTTCAGAGAGCGAAGATTTATCAGAGGATACCACTCAAAGTTAAGCAATTCCACTTTTGAATTCGAACCAATCGGTGTATCTATCTCTAAGAGCGCACGCCTGTACGAGGCCGAAAATCCAGGCAAGCGCCAGACCCATATTCTTCTTTTTCTATCCAAACATCCGAAATTCAGTCAATTAGGTATGATGCGCCGGTCTGAGTGTCAATGTTCATAAGGTTGATTTTAACCCATTATTCTTTAGCATAAAGAAGTTTTGCAAAAAGGGGGTTTGTAAAACAACTTGTAAAACCACACCTTTATCTGCGGATGTCTCTGATGATGGAGTCGAGTGAGAATGCGAAACGTTAGGCCAATAAATTTCTTTTTCCATTGATCGCATATTCATCCTCTGTAAAACAATTGTTTAGCAAAAATCCCGGAAGTACAGCTAACCGAAATGTTACGCGAAATTCTGAAATACGTTATTGACTAGAGAAGATCACTTATGTAGGATTGTAATATTAATAATCACACAGCATAATCCCATGACAATTCAGTTGATTCATAATACCGGCTTTTTAATAAACTTCTTTCAGGCTCCTTGAGAAGATCACTCTCTGTAAAAAATGACTACTTAAGTAACACGAATTTTTGATCATTGATTTTTGATGACCCTATAAATGCAATTATATTTCATAGAAGGCATGCATAAAAATACCCACTCTTTCACTCTTTTAGTAGAAAATCACGTTTTCTTCAAACTTTATACTTAAAGAAAGGGTGTGATTCAGTTTTAGAAAGTCCTTCTAATTCCCGAATGATTTTGAATCCGATCTGCCGTTACATTTACATTTAGGGTTTTGAACTACAAGCTGTATGCTTTCCGTGTATGGGAAATCATACATTTCTATACGGTATTAAGAGGAGACCATATGGCGTTCATAAAATTTAACAGTGGATTTGGGCCATATTGTAAACTTTACAGGCAACATTAGTAAGTGCAGAGACACGGGGTTTTATGAACGGGCATTTCACGGTCTCAAAAAACTTCATAATTAGAAACTTTTTTTAAAACCAAATTACACACTTCCTTCAAATATAGAATTTTAAGAAGACGTACGTTTCTACCAAATGAGTAAAAGAATGAATATTTTGTGCATACTTTCTAGGAAATATAACTGCATTTCTAAGGGCATCAAAAATTGACGATAAAAAGTTCATATTAGTTAAGTAGCCATTTTTACAGAGTGTACTTTTTGCAGAAAGCCGAAAAGAAGTTTATTCAAAAGCCGGAATCCTAAATTAACTGAATTATTATGGGATTATGCTGTGTGATAATTGATATTACAACCCTGCTTAAGTAATCTTTTCGAGTCGATAATGTACCTCAGGATTTCGATTAACATTTCACGAGTAAGCATATATACTGTATTAGAAAAATGACTTGGCTGTTATCTGCTAACGGCAAAAAATATCTGACAAATGAAGACCACTTTCAAAGCAAGCAATGCAAAGCATTATACGTCGGACACAAGTGTCTAAGTAAATGCATATAAGATGGGTTGTCTGTGTCGTAATCGTGACTGGCGCGATTCTTCTGGAAGCTGCCTTGCCACTTACTGCTAAGGCTTATTATGCTTTTAGATGCTCGCCTTAAAATGAACAGAGTAGGCGTTTGCTTCGAACTTACTTCCATCTTTACCCAGAACACTTCGTCGGATAAATTGCGTAAATCTCTTCGAGGGTTTCTCTTCGCAAGTCGTAACCTTTCACTCGAATGTCTATTTTATGGAATAGTCGTAGAGTGTGATTGGTTTGAATCACTGGTGACTTGCAGAATAGCATTAAAAACTCCTTAGTAAATGAACCATCTGGCGAAACTTGCACATGTTATAATGTTTCAGGAGTAAAGTCACTAGAAGAGTCAGTTCTAGACGCTAACTGTTGGGCGATTCAAAGTGGTCAGTACCCAATGGAGTTTTGCTATGCGATTAATCAAATAGACAAAAGCAATCACACAGGAAATCGTCTCTTACAAGAAATAATCACATGGAAATTTTAAGAAGGTTGTCAGGGGAGGCGGTCAGTTCAGAATTAATGCCAACACGCATTAAGCTCTACCTCTATGAAAAGGTAAAGCTTGTACTTCCAAAATATCAATAAAGTGATCTTACATATTTTGATTCCCCTTTTTTCTCGCTTTGAACAGTGAAGTAAACTTGTCAGTCTACAGGGTTGTTTCGTTAGGTGGGCTAACTCATGAAATTTCAACCGAAATTCCGAAATGCGTTTTCGTTTCGAACAGATTAATTAGGTGGGGTTGTAAAACCAGTCAGCCTGCAACATAATTCTATCATATTTCTATTACCTCACAATGTCCGCTTTCGAATGAACTTCCTTTCGTCTGTATGCAAAAACTACACCCTGTAAAATGACTACTTAATTATCATGAGTTTTCCTCATTGATTTTCGATGCCCCTAAAAGTTCAATTATATTTCATGGAAAGCATGCATAAACATATTCATTATTTTACTCATTCGGTAGACAATTACGTCTTCTTCTAATCTTCTACGCGAAGGAAGGGTATAATTCGGTTTTCAAAAACTTTTCCGATTTCCGAATAATTTTGTACTCTCTCTACCGTTACACTAGAATTCAGGGTTTCCAAAGTACAAGCCGTATATTTTCCGCGTATGAGAAACCACACATTTCTCTACTGTAATAAAGGGGACCATATAGGGTTCATAAAATTTAGCAGTGGGTTTGATCCATATTGTTAACTGTACGAGCCGCATTGGTAAATGCAGAGACCTGATGTTTTATGAACGGCAATTTCTCGGTATTTAAAAGTCCCACAATTAGAAACTTTTTTAAAACTGAATTATGTGTCCCTTTCGAGAATAAAATTAGAAGAGGACGTAATTACCTACCGAATGAGCAAAAGAATGAATATTTTTATGCATGTTTTCCATGGAGTATAATTATACTTTTAGGGGCATCGAAAATCAACGAGAAAAATGCATGCTAATTAAGTAGCAATTTTTACGAAGTATAGTTTTTGCATGCGACATGAAGGAAGTTCATTCGAAAGCTGGCATCCTGAGGTAACTGAAATATGATAGAATTATGCCGCAGGCGGACTAGTTTCACAACCCTACTCAATTAGTCTTTTCGAAACAAAAACGCATTTCGGAATTTCGTTTGACATTTTATGAGTTAGCCCACCTGCTGTAGAGGGCTTATAAATGCTTAACCTGAGGCACTATGACGTACTTTCTCCTTAAATGCAGAAAGAAGAGACTTCACATTTTGAGATTGATTCGAAATTGGACAAAAAGCGTTAACGAATAAAAGTACCAGCCGCTTATACCGCGCAGTGTGGACCGCTTGTATGCATGTTTACCTCTTTATATTGATTGCTAGACATCTGATTTCCTATTTCAACAAATATGCGCTTAGATGCAGCCAAAAGGCTTTCCAATAGACCTCCCTTTCAATTGAAATTGTGTCGCAAATGTTGATGTACCTTATTTATGCATTTGTAAATGGGGCAAAATATATTTAGCTAGTAATTATGTCCTGCGAAAGTCCGACACTCGCATTTTTTCAAAAGTCAGTCAACCACACATATGGTAAGTACTGACTCTTTCTTATCCCACAGACGTAAAATGCGGCACTAGTGTACAACACACTGACAAACCAGACGGTGCGTGCACAGTGTTCTTCAGCGACA